GGGATCTTCCCGGACCGGGGCACAAACCCACGTCCCCCGCATCGGCAGGCGGACTCTCAACCACTGCGCCACCAGGGGAGCCCCACAATATTCTTATAGATAGTAGTAGTGTGCATTTTTATAACCCTGTTTACAAACCCCAGCACTTGGTGTATCCCCAAAACTTCCTCAGTTTCTTGTAAACTAGCTCTCATCTCTCTAATAGTTATTGACCATATTGAATCCAGAAAGCATCACAGCAGTTGGAGTTACTTGAAGGTATTATACTGCAAGTTGAGGGTGAAGTATAAGTCTTTCAAGGAGCACATAACAAAACTTTTTCAACCCTGGCTCATTTGTTGATTGTCTTCCAGTATTTATAGAGGACTGGGCTGGGTGCTGTGGGTTAAAACATGGTGTCTGCCCTCAAAAAAAAACTATAGTTGAGGGAAGAAAGTGGACATAAATAAATAAACATTTGTATTCCCCATTTATTTTTTTTTGTTTTATTTTTTTTTTGCGGTACACGGGCCTCTCACTGTTCTGACCTCTCCTGTTGCGGAGCACAGGCTCCAGATGCGCAGGCTCAGTGGCCATGGCTCACGGGCCCAGCTGCTCCACAGCATGTGGGATCTTCCCAGACCGGGGCACAAACCTGTGTCCCCTGCACCGGCAGGCGGACTCTCAACCACTGCGCCACCAGGGAAGCCCTGTATTCCCCATTTATAAAAACACAGTATATTACTGGAAATCATACTTTATAGTGCATAGGGACCTTCCCTGGTGGCGCAGTGGTTAAGAATCTGCCTGCCGGTGCAGGGGACATGGGTTCAGTCCCTGGTCCGGGAAGATCCCACATGCCACAGAGCTACTGAACCCATGAGCCACAACTACTGAAGCCCGTGTGCCTAGAGCCCGTGTTCCGCAGCAAGAGAAGCCACCGCAGTGAGAAGCCCGTGCACCGCAACAAAGAGTAGCCCCCACTCGACACAACTAGAGAAGCCAGCGCGCAGCAGCGAAGACCCCATGCAGCCAAAAATAAATAATAAATAATTTAAATAATTTAAATAAATAAAGTGCATAATCTTGAAACAAGTTGTGTTTTTCTATTAGAACATGATGAGTTAGTTAGATACCAGGGTAAGTGCAAGTAAGAAATCACATATGACTTGCAGATTTTGAGTATAGATCCTAGAGAAATAGGAAATATGGAGAGAGGGACATCTTTTTTCTTAAGGCTGTTTTTTAGAGCAGTTTTCAGTTCACGGCAAAATTGAGGGAAAGGTACAGAGATTTCCCATATCCTGCTCCACACATACCAGGGGGATCTTCTTGGCGAAGATAATGATTGTTTTTTTTGACATACTATTTTGGAGAAAGAGTAATGCTGTTGAATTTCTTGCTACTATGCATTTTCTCATAGTTTTACTTACACGAAGACAGTGTTTTATTCATTTTTAATTAACAAGCTCCTAGCTAAGTGCCTAATATATATAGTAGATACTTAGGGCATTTTTAGTGAATTCCAGCCTTTGTTTCACACCCCCATTTCCTTCTTTGTTGCTTTTTCCCTTTCATCATTGAGAATTTGGTTGGATCATTGTATCAGTTAGGGTAAGATTCAGCTACAGGGACCAGCAAGCAGTTCCAAATAACAGTGGCTTAAATGAACTACAAGTTTGTTTTCCTTTCACATAAAAGTCCAGGTGGATGGTCATGGAACTTTGTGTTGTCAGGAAGTCAGGATACTTCTCTCTTATTGCTTGCATGTGTGACCTCCTTGTTCTAGAGGGTAGAGTGAGAAGAAGAGGAGGCTAAGCACCACACCCTGAGTAATTCAAGTGTTTAATCCAACGTATCAACAGGAATATTTGTCAGGAAAGAATAGAAAAACATATTGAGGCAAAACCTCTATTCAATCTTTAACTAGTAGGACATATTGTAGTTGTTTGTTACATTTCTTATCTGCCATAAGATTATAACCTTCTTGGTGACAGACACTTATTTTAATAATCACTTTATACTCTCAGCAGAGTGCCAAGCCAGTAAGTAGTTGCTTAATAATTATTTGTTGAATAGATTAATGAATGAAAGAAAAAGTTTGGGAACTGTTGCTGTACACATTTGACGGTGCTTCAGTAGACATTCCAACATCTGTTGGATGACAAACAATCCTCACATAGATGTATGGGCTTTAAAATAGAATTAAATACAGAGTTATTTTGAATTTTTTATTTCTTGTTTTCCTAGACTGGGGGATTTTATTTTATTTTCAGTTAGAATATTTTGAAATATTTTGAGCCCTCATTTGCGTTTAAAATATAGAATTGCCTAATTCAAATAATAGATGATTAAAAAATAAAATAAAAATAAGCAAAGTTAACCAGGCATTGAACGCTTCATCTGAATTATCATTCTTAATTACAACAACCTGTGAGATTAGGATTTTACTCATAAAAAGGAAATAGACGGAGAAATTAAGTAACTTCTCCAACCACACAGCTAGTTAATAAATGATAGAGCTTGCATTGGGTCAGCATGATTCTAGAGCTGAGCTTTTAACTATATGGTAAATTGAATAGAAAACTAAACCATTTACTAAAATTATAGTAATTTAGCATATGAATGTGAGTCTTATAAGATAGTGGAGAAAACATTTTAACACTGTATCATTTTTAGCCAAAAAGCAAATAACAGTTGACCCTTGAACAACATGGGTTTGAACTGTGCGGGTTCTTTCACTAAACATGTACTATAGTACTACACATTCTGTGGTTGGTTGAGTTTGCAGATGTGGAACCCTGGATTTAGAGGGCTCAGTGTAAATTTATGCTCAGATTTTCAACTGCGCAGTGGTCAGTGTCCCTAAACCCCATGTTCAAGGGTCAACTATAAAGTTATGTTTAGGAATCCGGAGGGAAATTTAACAGCTTTCCACTTTAGGGCTCCAGACTGGTACCATTGCTCTTTCCTGTTCCTTACTATGCTGTTGTAGTGGGAAAAGAGCCATATACAAATGAATGGTTGTGGTTGTGTTAAAACTTTATTTATAAAAATAGGCAGTGGGCCTGTAGACCATTATCTGCTAACCCCTGGTGTACTATACACCAGATACTATTATAAGTACTTTATATGTATTATTCCATTTAAACGTCTTAACTCAAAGCAGTAGTACTTGTGTTATCTCTATATGAGGCAACTGAGCCACAAATAGATGAAATAACTTGTCCAGTATTATATAGCTGTCAAGCGATGGAGGTAAGACATAAACCCAAACAATCTGACTCCAAAGACTACTCTCATATTATAGTATACTGCTTTATTGTACTATAACTTCTTTTTTTTCTGTCAGTGTCATAGAACAGTATATATTTTCTGTTAATTTACTTACCTTGTGCCTGGCACCTATAACTTTTAATAAGAAGTCTAAAAGTAAAGAGGATCGGACTTCCCTGGTGGCTCAGTGGTTAAGAATCCACCTGCCAATGCAGGGGACACAGGTTCAAGCCCTGGGCCAGGAAGATGCTACGGAGCAACTAAGCCTGTGTGCCACAACTACTGAGCCCACATGCCACAACTACTGAAGCCCATGCACCTAGAGCCTATGCTCTGCAACAAGAGAAGCCACTGCAATGAGAAGCCTGTGCACCACAATGAAGAGTAGGCCCCTCTCGCAGCAACTAGAGAAAGCCCGCACACGGCAATGAAGACCCAACCCAGCCAAAAATGAATAAATAAACTTTTTTAAAAAGTAAAGAGGATTGTTCCTTAACAGAGAAGTTGGTAATTGTTCAGATGTATTTTTAAGTACCTGGAATCCTATAAGGAGAGAAAAAACTATCATGAGGGGAATTAGGTTTACTTTTTAGATTAGTAAGTGTCATTATGTTAATTGTTGGCTCCATGATAAGATTTATCTACAATTTAAATATTGTTTAAATTTACTCTGGCATAAATGTATTTTTTTTTCTTGTCAGTTTGGATTTAGGTGGCGAGTAGAAAAAGAAGTAATTTCAGGGAAAGGTAATTCTTTTTTTTATTTTAGTTTTTAATAGGATAAGGTTATTTTGTTATATTATTGAAGCCATTGGGTAAGATTATTCTTAATGTATACAATAAGTGATTATCTACAAAATACAGAGTAAAATTAGAGAAGGTGTATTAATGATATATTGCTAACAAAGTTCAAAATATAATGCTTTAACGGTTTTTATGTTTAGAATTTTTGCTTCTAGGGTATTCAATTGCAGATAAGTAGAAAATGTTCAAAGAGTTAAAAGTTTCCTAGGAAGAAAACTATCAACAGATGAATACTTGCATTTTTCTCTTATTAATTTTTGGAATAATGTGTTGGTATTACTGTATTCCGGTCAAATCCACATTTTGCAGATAGAAATTAAATATTACTTTGAACCTAATAGAACTTTTAGACAGGCTAGTTCTTAGGGAGTCACTGAGTTTGAGCCCAAATATTTAGTCTTACAGAAAAAGAGCAAGCATTTGGTAGACAATCGGTAAATGCTTTTTCTATGCATTGTAATCTATTCATAAAATTTTTCTGAAAATTTAATATTTCTATACTGTCTCATGCTATAAAATTAGCTTTGTATTACTGGTGATTGCATTTAAGTGTTAATCTGTATACTAACTCACGCTATAAAATTAGCTCTTTATTGGTGATTGCATTTTAAGTGTTAATGCTTCTGAAAACTACCTAGGAACATTAAGGAAATAATTTTAAACTAAAAACTTTTAAAAATCTTTGAAAATAAAGGTTTCATTTTTAAATGATTAAACATTTATGCTGTCAGTATGGCTCATATACATCTTCCATAAATTAAGATCAGCCCTAAAGGTACTATAGAGGAGAAGGAAAAAGAATAATTTTAAAGCTATTTTAAACTTTTCTTAGCATTACATTTTAGTTTGTGCTTTTACCTAAGACAATGAGAACTGTTGAAATGTCTATCACAATTTTAAAATTTTATACTTTTATTGAATGGAATTTTCAAGTGACAGTAAGTAATGCTGCCTTTAAAAAAAATTGATGGACATTCTCTAAATTCATGTAATTGAAAAAGTTTTAATTGAGAAGGGGAAAGAAAGCTATTTGCTGTGATTGAATCTTGGTGCTTTTTTAACAATAGAGCCATTGCTAAACACATACAGATTTAATCAAGTATTTATTTGGAATGAGTAAAACAATGCCAATTTAGAAAAGTTATCAGCCTTTGAACTGGTAATTTTCAAAATTCATTTTGACAGTTTCTTTTTTATGAAAAAAAGTCAGTTCCTGTTGGTGCAAATTATTGAGATATAATATAATGCTTTTTTTTAGTTTGTGCAAATAAGTTTGATCTTGTCTTTTTCTGTTAAAGTTAATAATTGTTGAGTAGTTTATTTTTTTTTTCCTCTTGGATCATCAATATTAGTCCTTTTTTGCATAAGGTTTTAATATACAATGGATATGATAATAAGGCATTGATTTTAGTGTCAAATGATTCTAAAATATAGAGCATCAGGTTTGATTACTCATTCTACTTAATCTCAAAATGCTAGTTAAAATGTGCTTTAAATGTCATTTTATGCTGGTACTTAAATGCCATATTAAAAATTTCAATTTTTACCAATTTTAATATTAAATATTGAAAAAGATTGTCCCAGGTATAAGTGCATGTACTTTGGAAAATATACTTATTCTTTTAGGGTATTAGTGAGTACACTTTTTTAGTACTTCCATCTTCCAAAGTGTAAGATTCCCTTACACGGAGTCAGTAAAACTCTGTCTCTTAATATAAACAGTCAACTTGATAGATAGTCAACTATCTATCAGGTAAAGAATTCTGGAACTGTTTTTTTTTTTTTTTAAACAGTTCATTCAGCAATTTGATTTGATTGTTGAACATACCACAATTATTGTGGTCAGTTTTTTAATGATTATTTTATAGAGCTAGGAATTTATATATGTATGTCATGTATGTTATGTATGTATGTTGAGTAAATTTCAGAGGTAATACCAGATTGTATAGATAAATATTGTCACCAACCATCATAGCTAATATTCCTTCCTTTATTTGCAGGCCAGTTTTGCTGTGGAAATAAATGTTGTGATAAAAAAGAAGGCTTAAAGAGTTGGGAAGTTAATTTTGGTTATATTGAGCATGGTGAAAAGAGAAATGCGCTTGTTAAATTAAGTAAGTTGACTTTAGGTGGGGTATGATTGATTTCTTCAAAGTTTATCTAGTAATTTAGATTTTAAAATATATAGGCTAATTTAAGATTCAATTAAAAATTTTTAATGTATCTTCTTGGAAACACTTTTTTTCTCAGAGCTTCTGAAAGTTGCAAGAGTGACATTAGGGGAAATAGTTCTAATGCCAAAGGTAAACCAGTAATTCGTGAAGTGAAAACCTCTTTCCATTAATTTGAGAATGTCACCAGTGCAGAGTGAGATGCAAAGTATCAGAAAAGGCAATATAAAATCTCGTATTAGCTGATAGCCATATTGTTATGGTGTAGACTTTATTGACTGTCAATAAAGAAAAAATTTTAGGAGGGCAGATTGTTCTTGATATCATTCTTAAAAGTTTAGGATTATAACCCAGAATACAAAAGTTTCTCTTAATATACATGTTTTAGGATCTGTTGCTTATTCTTTTTTTTTTCTCCTAAGCTAGTCTTTTATGTGTCAGCTTCTCTGCATCATGTTAACAACCTTCTCTGGTTCCTAAATACGTGTGCCCTTAGAGTGTCTGCCCACTCTGGGTAGAAATCAAGGATTTCCCCATATGCTACTTGGTACACACCAGTGAAGGTTGGTGTCTGAGTTCTTCCTGGAAGTGCTTATGACGAAGAATCAACTAGTGTGAACTGAGATTAAAGCAAAAAAGAGACCACAATAGAGGAACTTTTTTGAAAGTTCTTTTACATTTGAAAACTCTTAGAGTACTTCAGAGGAAATGACTATACCCACACTATTGTTATTAGATGTCTTTGATGTGAGATACAGTTCTGCCTGTGAAACAGTTTGCTTTTAGAATAACTTGACAGCACCATTCTCTAAAGCAATGGCAGAATATTTTCAATTTCTCAAGCATTCTAATACAATTTTTATTATATATATACATTTTTTGAGGTGGGAGAGAATCAGATTGTTTTCTTCAGATTATTTGTTTCCCTTCTTACAGTAAAGGAATGTAAAGAAAAATGACAATTTATGATATTAAAAGTAAAGTAGCAGTGCAGTTATTAAAATTTAGCAATTCTGTGGTGTTACTCTTTTTTTTTTTTTTTTTTAGGATTATGCCAAGAATGTTCCTTTAAATTAAATTTTCATCACAGGTAATATGATCTTTTAAAACGTGGTTGTTAATTTTAGTAGTCTTGGAGGTAGTCACCTGCACTGGATGTCTAAAGTAGACTTGAGTGGTTGATGGTTTAATTAGTTGATTGTATATAAAATCCACCATTACCATATGACCATATAAACCAGGGAAGTGGAAGTTCATCATGCCTAACTCTAGTCAAGCAGTTTTAAATGTGAAGGCCTGTGCAGGGTGGTAGATAGATGCTAGAATTTTTGGTTTGGAATCAGTGTTCAGATACTGTAATATTCTTAGAAACTATATTGTAAAGCAGGTCTTCATAAAGTGATTCCTATGTCTCATTTAAGCATTGTTTTAATTAGAGTTTGTCATTCTTACAAAGGATTATACCTCTATACTCATTTTAGATGTTAAAATCAGGCTCCTATTGAATGAGCTAGACTGTGTCTGCCATACTGAATGGGGGAGGTGTATCAGTGTTCTGCATTGTGCAATATATATAGATAGTAGGCTTTCCTATGTATTCCTCTCAGCTAATCCACTTACTAGTCTTCTTGGGCAAGCTATTTAACCTCTGTAAGACTCAATTTTATTATCTCTAAAAATGAGTGTACTAAGGTTATTGTGGGGATTAAATGAAAATGCTTGACACAGTGTCTGGCGTATGGTAAGTCAAGCATAATGAAGTCCCTGGCATTGCAGATGTTCAGACAAAATCTGTGTAACCTGGCATGATTGTAGTGGTCAAGTTTCATGTCCTGAGTAACACTTGAAAGTCTTAACAGTAAGATTCTGCAACTTTATAAAATGTATATATTAGTATATTAATTTAAAATCAGCTGTGTTCTAAATGAGCCTTATCTAGTATTTTAGCTATTAAAAATAAATACAAAATTTTAAATTCTTAAAATTAGCAAAGTTTTTAGATTACTTGATTTCCCCTCTCTATCAATGATACTGGAAGATAACAAAGATGTTTTTTTGACCTTGAGTTTCGAGCTTCATTTCAAGATTGAAATTATTCTTACAAGAGGCAAGAAGTTATTACTGTCTTAAACAGTATTGTAGTATTTGGTGTATCTTAATTTGAAAGGTCTGATAAGCAAGTTTCTTGAAAGTAATCCACTGTGTTGTCTCTTCATCCTCTTTCCCAGTCCCAGTTTCAGCATTATCACCTTTTCCTATTTAGTGTTTCTTTTCTTAACCAATTAAAATCAGTTGCTTGCCAGCTATGGCACTGACAACCTTGTAAACTTGGCCTAGAAGAGATAAAGCTACAGCAGTAAAAGGATAAGTGGTCTAAAGTAGATATATGAGTTAACAGTAAGCCTTTCCATCCTCATTCTATTATACCTTTGCTGTATTCCTTTATTCTTGAGAGAAGAATTTTCTATTTACTGGTGGTTGAGAACTGTTAAGAGTGGTTTCTTCTTGTTGTATGTGTTTTTTCAAAGTGTAGGTAGATATGAATTATGTGGAGGGAAATGAGATTTGATTTTGTAATTTTTTAAAAATGACTAAATGATAGAATATATAAAAGAAATGAGTAAAAACTATGATTTACATTTACTAAGGATTTGTACACAGAACTTAGAAAAAATAATCCTTTGTCTCAGAGTGTTCAGGCTTCGTAATCTTATAGAATTGTTTTAATTAATATACTAACCTAAAATATTTACAGACTCATTTAAGGGTTCCTTATTATGTAAACTACCTTTTAAAAATGAGTACTTTAACTGATTTGACTTTTTTACCCATTGATTTTTATTTTTTGTAAAATTCAGTTGAAAAAGTTAACTTTATATTGTTCAACATAAAGGAGAAAAGAAGTCAACTCAAAAAAAAGAAAGGATAAAGCCAGAAAAGACTGTGAAGAGTCATCACATAAAAAATCCAGATTATCTTCTGTAGAAGAGTCCTCTAAGAAAAAGGATAAAGGTAAAAGGGAATTAAAATAAAATATTTACTCATATTTCTGAACATGAAGTATAATCTGCCATATGTCACAAATGTTGAATTTAATTAGTAAATGCATTTAGAATTCTGTTTTATAGTAGTTGAAAGGAAACTGGTTGGAGAATTTAGATATGAATTTATAGTAACTTACAGGAGTTTCAATACCAAGGTTGGTTTTGATTCATTTTTGGCAGATGGTATGTTGCAACAGCATTCTAATTTCTGGATTTGTTACTTACAGACTTGTTACCTTGAGCAAGTCATTGAATTTCTTGAGTTTCACTTTTCTCGTGTACATAGTGGTGATGTGAATACCTGCTCTCTATACTGCTGGTGCTTATTGTGGATAATCAAATAAGGATGTGAAAGGCACTTTGAACACTGTAAATCAGTACATAACCTATAAGTCAGTTTAACATTGTAACACTGTGATTTCAATTATCATGGTCTGTGTGATTTTTCTCACTAACTTATGAGCTTCTTGAAATGATAGAGGTTGATATGTATGTGTCCTCAGAACCTAACATGGTGCTGTGCACATACAGTTAGTAAATAACTGTTAAATTCAAATCCAAGTCAACTGCTACTTCTTCCTCAGCAGTCCTTAAGCTAAGCCTTAGTTTTCTCATGTGTAAAATGGTCATGATAATCTTACCTAGTAGGTCATAGGATTTTTCAGAAGTTGAAATGAGATAATGCATGTAAGCAGTTCGCATAGTACTTGGTACATAGTTAGCTATTATGAAGGTTACTGCTAGTTGCTGTTTTAGTCCATAATAAAGTAGAGTCAAATTGACTATAACTTAGAGTGAATTGGACTTAAATTAGGTAGGTAATGGTAGATTGAATTAGATTCCAGCCTATGGTAACATAATACTTGAACAGGAGAGGGCTGCCTTGCTCCAGCTATGAATATCATTAGATATGTTATGTTCTTATGTACATTTTTTTCTTCTAACATGTCATGATACATTCAAGTATATGTATTGCCAAGTTTTTGACTTGGTAAAATCGATAGATGTTGAGAGGAAAAATACTGATATTCTGTTGTTTATTGAGAAATGGTATTTGAAACAGAATACCTTTTTTGTCTCTAAATCATGTTCCAGATTTCAAAATAAATTTTAATAAGTGTGAGAATCTCATTTGAATTTTAAAAAATTTTTATTTATCCTCATGTGCCAGTAAAATATTTAGTGTATTATATCTGAGGATTTTGTAGCATTTACTATTATATAATATATTTATATCATAGTATGATACTATGTTAATCATTGCGTATTCCAAATTAAAGAAGAACTAATCCCTGCCTTGTAAAAGTTTATTCAGTACCTCCAAAACAGATAATTAGGTAGCTGGATACTCAGGACTAGGGATGGGGTTGCACCCCTCAAATTATAATATATATGCACGTGATCTTCCTTATAGATGTTTTTCCTTCAGTGTTCTGTTCTGTATTTTGGTAGGTGATAACCTCTGTCAACCTAAAAACTAATATCGGAAATCGGGAAATTATCCTTGATGCCTTCTTTTTTTCTCGTTACTTATTATGTAGATACTATCAGTTTTACCCCCGGGTATGTATTTCTCATGTTCTCTCTAGTCTAGTTCAGACTACCATGTTTTCTCATCTAGGCTACTACTATATTATCCATACTGATTCTAACACTGTCTTGTTATCCCACCTCCCTCTCCTTAATCCATTCTCCATCTAGTAGTGATTTCCTATGTTCTTAGGATATAACCAATATCTGGACAAAGCCCAAAGGCTCTATATGATCCAGCATACAAGGCTTGTTTATCACTACTCTTCACCTTACGTTCACACTCCCCCCACATAGCCTTTCAGTTTCTAGAAAATGCCAGACTTCTTTCTGTTTAAGGACTGTATAGGTGCTGCTTCCTCTCTAAAACCTCCAGTCCCATCCTAACTCATCCTTCAGATTTAAGCTTAAATGTCACTTCCTCAGGGATCCTTTCCTGACCATGAATCTAAATTAGGACTCCCATTTATAATGCTTTCACAACCTTGGAACTTTTCCTTCATTACACATGTGACAGTTACATAAAACACAAGGAGAACAGGGGTTCTGTCTGCTGTGTTCATTGCTCTATCCCTAGCACCCCACTAGCACATGTAAGGCATAAATAATAAAGAATAAGAAAATGAAAGACTTGAAGATTGTTTCAGGGCAACTTCAGAGATAGAAAACCAAAGCAGAGTGGAATTGAGACATCTGTGTCTTATATACCCTTTATTCAGAGCACCTTTCATAGCAGAGAGCACAGGATATAGTTCTTTTTTTCAGCTTCTTTGGTATAAAGCAGAAAATGACAACATCTTAGCAAACTTTTAGGAAAACCATGTAGACCTCTTTAATATCTTCTCATCTGGGATCAATCATCTGGAACTAGGTTGATCTTGATATACTTTCTTGCCAGGCCACCTTAATTTGGCCCAGACTTGAATAGTAATTAATAAATGCTTAATATCTCAGCTGCATTTGGACTGTTGGCATTCCTCAGAACAATTACTTTCTTGATCTTTTTCCTATCTTTTCAGCCTCTCCTCAGCCTCTTGACTATAATTCCTCCTCCATCTTACCCTTGTTGGAATTGCTCAAGGCTCTTACAGAACTTCTCTTTATTCTCTCTGTTCTCCCTGTGTGATCTCATCAACCCTGATAGCCTTAGGTTACCATCATATAAAATGTTAAATAAGTGGATGGATGGATGGATAATTGGATGGCTAGATAGCTGAATGGATAGAGAGGAAATGTAAGAAAGATCAAAGCTTGACTTTGAGGACTAGTCTGCTTTGGCAGGTGTGAACAGAACAGGGTATTTAGGTAAATTGTCTTGGCAGTAAGTTCAAGATCTTACCCCTCCCACCTCCACCCTGCCCCCAAGCTCAGTTCCTTGGATAGGCCTTTTCTGACACCCTTCACCCCACTCCTCCAGGCAAGATTAGGTCCCTGTTAGCACGTTCTGGTAGCATCCTGCACTCTCCTTTAGAAATACATATCACTCTTGGAATAATTTTTCTGTGAAGGAAGGGACTGTGTGACTTGTTTAATTCTCTATCCCCAGTTCCTAAACACAGTGCTTGCCCCACATAGTAGGCATTCAGTAAATGTTAGGTGAGTGAGTCAGTGAAATCAACCAGTTTCTCAATGTTGAAAATCAGAGATCAGCCCTGGAATCATGATCAAAAAGATTTTCTATGGTTTCACCTTTCAAAATATGGTCCTTTGCATTGTCATCACTTGGGAGCTTGTTAGAAATGCTTAATTTCAGACCCTTCCAGATCTCCTAAATCAGAGTTGCACTTTAAGTTCCCAGAATGATTCATATGTACAATAAAGGTTAAGATGCACTGCTCTTTATCATGTATTCGTTCTGCTTTAGCTTCAACACCTCCAGGGAAAAGGTACCCATTATCCAAAATACTCCTTTACATTTCAGACAGCTGTAATTGCTAGCAGGTTTCTCTTAACATTTAGCCCAAACGTACAACTTCTTCCTTCTGGTTCCAGTTGTGTCCTTTTTTTAACCTATAGACACTTGGAAGCAGGTATCATTGTTCCTTACATGACAGAGAAGATGACAGAGAAGAATACATTTCTTTTGTCATTCGAAGTTTAGCTATGTTTTTATTTGCTCTCTGATGACTAGGAAATAAGTAGGAGTGAAGAAACAACATAAAGCAGTTGTTGCAGTCCAGCCCTTGGCTTCCTTTGGAATCTTGACCCTGTAGTTCTCACACCCTCTTGTCTGGCCTTAAGGGGCCATTCATGCTACAACTTGGGCTAATTATGAGACCTGTCCAGGGAGGTTGGAGGAATTGTTACTCTCCATCTGTTTTCCGTTCTTTTTTGAATTAGCAGCCTTCAGAAATATTTCCCCTAAGGTCTTACTGCAGGAGATTGTATAATGATGATTTTTTTAGATTACTTTAATAGATCTTCAGTACTTTTTCTCTTTCCATTTCCCTCACTGGGTAAACCATTGTAGAATTGAAAATGTTTGTTTTATCACATAATTTTTTGTGTGATTTTCAATTACAGAGAATTCTCACCTGTACATGATCTTCAAAAAAGATTAAGAAAGATTAAAAGATTTTTTAAATCTTTCTTTTCTTAAAAGATTAAGAAAAGGCATTTATTTGTAAACTGCTTTCAGATGTTGAACATCTGTAGATAAAATATTGTTTGTGTTGCAGCTAATCTATGAGGGTTTGGGGGGTTTTTTTTGTTTGTCCTAGCAACATGAGATTTTTTTTTATATAGGTGTTCATTATTTGTTATGTTTTGTGCTAGGTATTCCAGGCTGTACAAGAGCATAAAATACCCCTCCCTAAAAGAATCTAACATTTTAATTAGGGAGATAAGTCTAAGGAACAGGAAAGATTAGAAGACAGAGAAGTGCTTTCCTGCAAGACTATACACTAGACTATTGGGAAGAATTCCAGCTATATATAGCTATAGCTGTTACACCACTGCAAGATGATTCTTGACAAAACAGTGCTGGGTTTTTTGTTTTTGTTTTTGTTTTTCATCACATTTACTCTCAGTGAAATCAGAAAATTCTATCAGCAGTATCATGTTTTTATTTAATAAAAGTATACAGATTCTAGTTATTTACAGTTTAGGTTTCCCACAAACTGTAACTTGTTCTGATGTAAATTTTTTTTTTTGTTTTTGTACTGTGTGAGAAAAATCATAGAAAAAAGAGCAAAAGTGTATTTCTTCCCCATATTTAGAACATTTAAAAGTGTCTTATGTCAAGTATAGAAGAGCATAATTTTTTTTTTTTCCAGTAAATACGGTGGATAAACATTTTAACTTCACATCATGAAGTATGAAGGAAGAGAACAAGAGGGATGAAGTTGGGATAGCAAAAGAATTGGGGAGGTGGATTAAAATTTAAGAAATGTTGCTTATATTGCACAAGACTGAGTGATCTCTTGTCATTTGGTGATTTTGATTGATCAAATTAAATATATGGTTTGTACATAGAAAGCAGATGTTAGCAACGGTTGTTACTGGTCAGTTTTTAATAAGTCCCGTAGTTTTCATCAGATTGGATTTCATTGGATATTTGCTACAAATTTTATTGTTTGTTCCCTACAACATTCCAAAAAGTATTCACAATGACTTACAAAAATATATACTATAAGATTTTTTTAAGGTGAAATCAAAATAATGGAAAAATAAGATAGAATAGGAAAGTAAAGCTAGAGGTAAAATTAATACAGACAAATATTTAACAAAAAGTCTTGCATAATTGCAAAAGTAGACATAGATTTGTCACTGTTCTTCCTAACAACCAAACCAAAGAAAGGAAACCACCAGTAGAATGATTAATTGTACCCATACAATATTAAAGAGAACTCGCAGGGTGTTCAGCTTTTTCCAGGCAGTTTTGAGAGCAGAATCTACTGTGGATTCATAAAAGGGGGTATCCATTTGTGATATAACAAACAGTAACCTTGTATCTCAACAGTAATATGATGTAGAATTTCTTAAAGAACTTGCAATAAATTGGGTCTAACAAAGTGTAGTTCAATAACATACCTAATTTATGTTATAATATCGACTTATTTATAGAAATTTAGAGATTTGAGACTTCTAGCCTTACTTGTAAATTTATAAACTTAAGAATTAATTTTTTTCTGATTTTAAAGTAATATATATTTATGTGGCAAACTCAGGAAAATATTTAGTAAATGCTCCAAATCACCATTCAATTTAAACTTTATTAGCATTTTAGTATATAATTCTTAAGGAGAATTTTTAAGTGTTCAGTAATCAGAAATTTTAGAGAAATAGAATTTTAAAGATACTTACTGTTTAAAAATTTAATGAAGAGGAGATATCAGTGGAGGTATTCCTCTACTTTAGGAATACAAACGTATTCCTTAAGAATTATTTTACTCATACCATTTTGTTTTCAACGTATTTGAAGTGTCCTTAAAGCACTGACACTTCCTTTCTCCCCATGTGAATCCTAATCTATCAGTAGTAGCTCCTTCTTCTAAATTAGGTTAAGTTTCCTGACAGCTTATAGAACATAGCCAGGCATGAGACGATAGACTTAAGCTATCTGAGGATGGGGTAGTAAGTATATATAATTTTAGAAAGCATACACATGTTAAAATGGGAAATTTTATAGTTTTTGCCAATTTCCAACTATATGTTGCAGTGAGAGGTGTGACGGCCTATTTAATGTAAAAAAATATATATATTGCCCTTCTCCAATTCCAATTTTTATTAAAAAATCTTTTGGGGAAAGGGCTTGACTGACTTGTTTATATTCATTCTTTCATTTGCTCTTCCTTCCTTCTCCCTCCCACTGTTCTTCCCCCAGCCCTCTCAAACCTCCCTCATTTCCTGGAAATAATCTTAAGTCTCTTCACCCTCTTCAGCTAGGTCAAACTTCTGGCGGTAGGGAGAGGGGAATACTGTAGCCAACCTGAAGAATCTCTAGCTTAGCTTGGTTCTTGAAGTAGAACCATTTCAAGCAGGGAACATGTACCTTGTTATAGTTTGCCAAACCCAGATATCTTCTCAGGTGGTCAGTGACCTGTCTTAGGTGGTCTTGGCAATTTTACAACTCAAATTCTGCTGTTTCTATTATATATTTCATTTACATTTGGATAATATTCAGTTACCCTTTTACCCTCATTTAACATATGGATTATTTACACCAGATCCATAAAGAAAAACCCAATTTCTATGGGGAAAAAGAATTTTAACTTACTTTTGTTGATTGTCAGCCATAATCGCAAGTGGTTTAGTTGTATACCTCATTTAATCGTAGTAATGGGCATATAATATCCCATTTTGCAGTTAAGAGAACCAAGACCCAGATAATTTACATAAATTGCCTAAGGTCAAATAGTTGGTTAATGGCAGAGCTACGATTAAACACAGGTTTATAACTCCAGAGTCTGCTCTTTTACTTATATCATCAATAACTGTTCATCAGTGAATCAAACGTTAGTCTACTCTTTATACCTCAGTTTGGGCAGATATATTACACAAATCCACATTAAATGATTTGATCTGTGTCTCAGTTCTATCTGTAAAATGGGTATAAAGAGACTTCATTGGATTATTATCAGAGTCAAGTGAAATAATAAACATGTAAAGCATGTGTCTTATATGAAGTAGCCTTTGATAACCTGTAGCTATTATTGTTATATCAGAGAAAAGGAAAATACTGGACATTAGATATTGTGTTTGTTCTTCACAATGGGTCAGATCAAAAGTTAAGTCTGTGAAAGTCTGACCTGTCCATTGTTTTCATAATTGGAGACTTGCCACTTCTTCAGTAGGCCAAGTTACTTAGGTATGTAATATCCAGAAAAACCAAGATGATTAGACCTACTTGCATTATTCAAAGCATATAGGGAAAATTATACGCAGTTTGCATTACATTCTAAAAGGAACATTGAAAACTTAAAGCAGGTCAAGAATAGAACAACCAAAGTGTTGTCAGAACTTGAAATGTTGTTATAGGAAGAAGGTTGAAGGAACCGTAGATGTTTAGCTTAGGAAAAAGTGAAGAGGGAAGGGGTAAGGAGGTAGACATGGAAACTGTAGATATTTTCAAGACTGCTACTATGTAGGAGGCTTATTTTTGGTGGCTGGTTGGCAGAACTAGAGTCTATGGATAAAAATAGCCCAAGGACAGATTTTTGCCTTAATTTAAGGAAAAATTTGTCAATTAGAACTATCTGAAGAAAGGAATGGAGGAATGGGCTGCTTCAGGAAGTAGTGAGGTGTTTAGATTGGACAGCCAGTTGTTATTGGAAGTATTACAGTAAGATGTTCATTCATTGGATAAGGCCTGGACCTCCAAGCTCCCCTTCCAGTACAGAATCAGTGACTTAAATTCTGATCCCCCCTTGTTAATAATTACTGTGGAGGTTTGACACTGATACAAATGCAAGCATCATTTTGTGTTGCCCATTGTTCTAAATGTTATTTCCTGAGCAGCACCCTTTCCACCTCTGGCAGGTTGTAGCAGTTATCAAAAAAATGATTTGTAGTTACTGCCAACCTCATGGAATTAGGTATTATAGATTCGTAGTTAAATATTAATAGATTCATAGGGTTGTAAGGGACCTTAAAGGTCATATAATCCAATCTTGTGGATTTGATTCTCTAAGGCTATCTGATCACTTTTTCAGCATGTCCTCTTTCAAAGAGAGTTATTTTATAATGTTATTCTAAACTAATTGTTCTTTTTAGTAAAACTGGATCGTCTGTTATCAGAAAACCGGTGTAGGAAAGCTGGCATGTGGGCAGTACTCTTGAGAGGGAACAAGAAAACAGGTGGTTGTAAGGCCTTTTGAAATTAGCTGCCCACTTTCAAAGGCCTTGTAGGTTTGTTCTCTGACATCATTGACAGGATAACACCATGGTGATAACTTTAGTAGGCCTAATTAGTTTTTCTGTGCTTTCTTTATCTCAGTTAGTGAATTTTCATAAAAATAAGAGCAGAAGACTTTTTTGTTTGTTTTGTTTTTGTTTTTTGTTTTTTGGCTGCGTTGGGTCTTGGGTCTTCGTTGCTGCGCACAGGCTTTCTCTAGTTGTGGCAAGGAGGGGTCTACTCTTTGTTGTGCGCAGGCTTCTCATTGCGATGGCTTCTCGTTGCAGAGCATGGGCTCTAGGTGCACAGGCTTCAGTAGTTGCAGCATGCGGGCTCAGTAGTTGTGGCTCATGGGCTCTAGAGTGCAGGCTCAGTAGTTGTGGCACACGGGCTTAGTTGCTGCACGGCATGTGGGATCTTCCCGGACCAGGGCTTGAACCCGTGTCCCCTGCATTGCAGGTGGATTCTTAACCACTACGCCACCAGGGAAGTCCCAAGCAGAAGACTTTTTTCTTTTCGCATATTCAGTTTGGGACACTGGCAGTTCCAGTGCTGGCTGTCGTTGAGTGGGAATCTTATTCCCAGAGCTTTATAATTTTATCATCTTTGTGTGTAGATCGTTAGAAGCACAACTCCCGTTCCCTTTCTTATTTTTTTGCTGTTTTTGTTAGAATTTGTGCTAGAATAGATTCAGTTAGGACCAGAGTTCAGACATACGTGTTGATTCAAGGATCAAAGTCCAACAGGAAAAAAGGCTAGAACCACCATGGCAAATCAGTACTGTTTTATTTTTGTGTTGTGTTTAACTAAGGTACATTCTGTATTGACAGGCCAAATTTGTGTCACTTCTTTTCCAGACTAATGGTCATTATTGGAGAGGAATTATTTGCTAACATAATTACTTTGTGGCATATAATTTTATTGTCTCATAATACATGTTTCAGTATTTGATAATTTTTAGTTGACTAACATAGGGCGATTCATTTGAAACATGTCTATTTTGTTATGTTTTAAAAATAAAATATATTGTTTTTACTGATCTTTAAAGGTAATACATGATTATTGTTTAAAATACAAAAAATTTTGGAAATGCTTAAAGAGCAAAACTATCCCAGGCCTACAGGTAATATAATCACTGTTAAGTTTGGTTGGTCCTTACAAACTTATTTATGTGTGTGTGTGTTTGTGTGTATTTATTTATATACACACACACGCATATATAAATAATAATATATATATGTAGACATAATGTTTTAATACAAATTGTATTATACTATGCCTGCTTTCTGTAACTTTTAAAAATTTTGATATAGCATACACATTTTTCTATGGTAATTCAGGTGTGCTATGGGTTTTTTTTAATAGCTATATAGTATTTATTTAACCAAGCCTTAATCCCTAATTGGTGGGGATTTAACTTGTTTTCTTTTGCTGTTGTTGTTATACAGTGGACATCTTTGTACATATATCTGAGTGCTCGTTTATTCTAAGTAAATAATTAAATTCCTAAAAGCAGCATTGCTGGTCAAAGGGTATCCATATTTTAAAGTGATCTATATTGCCAGATTTTCCTCAAAAGCATGGTATTTACTCCTAACAATGTATGAGAACATCTGTTTCTTCATTGAAATGGACTTCTTCTAATTAATGTAATCAGCATTAATTTTTTTTAAGTCTGACAATTTTTTTTTTCATAATTTAGCTAGTCCTATATACTAGTTCATTTCTTAAGGTCTTGATCCTAATGTAAATACTCTCTACAAAAATCTTACCCTGCATGTCTTTTGTGTGATCAATAAAAATAAGAAACTAAATTAAAGACAACTGTATTGCAAGAGATAATTCCATTATAATATAGAGTTAATATTGGAATTGTTACTTTAACTCAGTATAATTTATAGACGTTTCCCATGAGACTTTAAATCCTTGGTCTATTTGCTGAGGCTCTTTGGTATATATCAGCTTATTATTTTTCAAAAGAATTTATTGGTCTGGAAAAGTGCATTAAATTTTCAGAGAGCCATAAAAGTTGAAGCTAAACCACAGGTAAACCTGGAATTTATTTAATTGCATTGGTGGGTAGTTCAAAATGTGTTTTAAATGTAATGTGCACATTTTAAAAAATCTCTTTTAAATGAACAGGAAGCTCTGATGAGGAAGGAAGTACTTCAGAATCTGAACTTTGGAAGGGCCCGCTGCCAGAGACAGATGAAAAACCACAGTAAGTCCTGATAATAGTATTAATAGACAATGATAATGCATACCTTCTACGTCAGTCTAGGAAGCTATGACCACAGCTATTTTTTATAACAGTTAATGAAAAACTTAGCATCGTGAATGTCTTTTTAAAGCCAAGGAACACCTAGCCTGCTAAGGTCAGAGTTTATTCCCAGCCATTGTTTATGGCCATAAACAGCCAACTTGTCCAGCTCCCTCTTGGTGAGTAAAACTTTCCTTAGCTCACATTGACAGATGACCCCCTAGTCTTTGCTTTTATTGTTTCAGAGAGATGCTGTTTACTAGCTTCCAGAGCAGCCTATCCATGATATTTCTGATTATCATAAACCTATACAGGGGAGCCCCTTGAAGATATATACAGGTGTAAAAGTTTTCTTGCCAACAGCCACCTTAGCCCCCAGAGATACACAAGTCAGCACATGCATTGTTCTCTGCTATTGGTTGGAAGAGCTGTCTGTATATAGGCTGGAATATTATCAGTTCTTCTCATATACTGGGATGTTCACCACTTGAGCTTTATCTGTTGAAAGGGGATAAAATAATACCTACTACATAGAGTTTATTGTGAAGATTTAATAGAATAAAGAATGTAAAGCACCTGGTCTGGCACAATACCTACCAATATAGTAAGTGCTCAATAAATTTTAGTCCCATTTTGTTACTCTAGGCATATTGGTTCATAATAAGAGACCTGTTGAATCAATCATAATTCGCTAATTTAAGCTGATTATAAAACATATTGCTAATTATATAATATGTTCTTAGTGTAATAGAATTCAGGTGTGTTGGAAAGTTTTTGTTTTTAAAAAAAGATTAGTTTTTTTCTATAACCTTAACCTTTATTTTTGTCAGCCAAATAAAGAATTCCTAAATGAGTCGTCATTATAGATCAGATTATAAAAAAGGTATCACTATCCTAGTAAAACTATCAACTGAACTTTTGACCATATAACTTTCCCTTGAAGAGATGAAAATGACAGAATAGGTCTTGGAGTCAACTCACCTTTTTGACAGTAAAGATACATGAATAAAGCCTAAGAGGGGTTTCATAATCCAAAGCTCTTTGTGACCTTATAAAAACTTGACATCAGGTACTGACATCCAAGTTCACACAGAAATTCAGCTAATTTCATATATTTAAGTTCTTACTACAATTTAAAAAATTCTACTGCATTTTGCTGTCATGCTTGGGAAAAGGGACAGTAGCCAGGAGAATACCAAATTGTAGGTAATTTTAAATCAACTTTATCTGATTCTGGAATTAATTTTTTAAAAATTTGAACATGGTTGCGGTGGCTCTATGCATTCACAATTGTTTAAAGCCAAATGATGGAGTCCCATTGTGAATCTCTGATCTAAAAGAACATTTTCTGAAGAGACTGGTACACAGAATTTGTCCAGCTTGATTCTCTGTTCCCAGAAGGGAGAAAAGCAATTGTACATACATTTAATCTTTAGAACAGCTCTATGAGGAAATGTGATGTTCTTTATTTTATAGATAAGGAAACTGAGCCCAGAGAAGTTAAATAACTTGCTTGCTCAGCAAATAACTGACAGAGCTAGGACTTAAAAAACACTGTCTGACTTGAAAACCTGTGTTATTTCCATTGTACTACTCTGGCTCCTAGCACTAATGTTTATTTAGTACTTTACAATTTTCATAATATTTTAACACATTATAGTGTAATATCTCCTTTTAGAGTTCTGTTCTTTGTTTTAGACATAATCTTCACTGCTACAGATACATATTTACTCTTCTCAGAGTAATAAAATCTGCAGCCGAAGCAGATTTTCCCTATTCCTAGGAGTAAGACTTGTATTTTTCCTTAAAATAGTTTTTTTCATTCATTTTTGATCAGGCTATAATTTGAAATGAGAATGAACAGAGTAAGTTATAAAGTTAACCAAAAAGTAAAGAGAAGCAATGACATTTCACAAAGTACTTCAAAGTAAAATCTTAGGTAATAAGTACATTAAGGGAGACGTGCCAACATATACAGTATTTTCAATTTAATCAGTCTTGGTATAGTTATGATTATTTTAGAAGCCAAGAATTATTTGATACCTGAATCATGAAATATATTGCCATATAAAAGAATCAGCAAATATGTTGGATTAAAATATTTTATTTTTATTAATCTCATATAATGTGTCAACCTAGTAATTTTCTTCTCTAATTGTTGATTTTAATCAAATTGTATACTTTTTCTTTTAAATAGGGAAGAAGAATTTGATGAATATTTTCAAGGTTTATTTCTGTGACATGGAAGAGGGATGCATACATTCCTTAATGTGAAAGTATACTTTGAAACTCTTCACAAAATTTTGTCTACAAGTTGCAACTTGAGTGGTTTGTCTTTGGAAATAAAAATCCAGCTACTCTCAGGATGTCAGATGCTTTGGAAGTTTTTCAGTTTTATTGGAGGCACTTTTCCCTATATATCTTTTCAATTGTTTATCTACAACTCTGTTCCATCTGTAGCTCCTAAAGTATGGACCTAGTACATCCTCTAGTACAGAGATCCATTGTGCCTATATTTTTGTAGGTTTTTTTTCTCCTCCACTGATTCACATTTATGTTCCCTTGCCTCAGCTTAAACTTTTAGGATTATTGGGGTTTCACGAAATGACAAAGTAGATTAAGTATGTCTTTGAGTACCCCTCTTTTGAGTACCTATTTTGTCATTAGCTGCCTTTTCTTTTTTTCCTTACATTTCTCTTGCTTCCATCTCACCTCTACCACTTAACGGAGTTTGTTATAATCAAGTTTGATTCCCCAGTGTATGGGTAATTTATTATAAAGTAAATTAATACCACAGGGGGCCAAATGAGATTCCAGTAGTCTAAAACAGCAGATGTGTTCATGAAACTTGACTCTTAGCAGAGATTATACAGTAACATAATTTAACTGAACAATATTGTGTGCATAGAGCTTGTCTCAGATACAGTCATGCAGATATGGATATACTGATATGCAGAGATATATTGTAAAATGTAACTTTTTAATCTAAATTTATTCATTTTTGGCTGCATTGGGTCTTGGTTGCTGCACGTGGGCTTTCTCTAGTTGCGGTGAGCAGGGGCTACACTTCGTTGCGGCGCGTGGCCTTCTCACTGCGGTGGCTTCTCGTTGTGGAGCACGGGCTCTAGGTGCACGGGCTTTAGTAGTTGTGGCACTTGGTCTCAGTAGTTGTGGCTCGCAGGCTCTAGAGAGCAGGCTCAGTAGTTGTGGAGCATGGGCTTAGTTGCTCCGTGGCACGTGCAATCTTCCTGGAGCAGGGATTGAACCCATGTCCCCTGCATTGGCAGGGGGATTCTTAACCACTGTGCCACCAGGGAAGTCCAAAATGTAACTTCTTAATTTGGGGTTCATACCCTCAGGAGTCAATGAATATGCTTCAGGAAATCTAAACACTCCTAGAATCTATGTGTAAACTTCTGTAATTATGTGTGTGTTTTGGGGAAAGGGTCCATAGTTTTCATCAGATTTTCAAAAGGATATATTGATTCTTTTTTCAAAAGGTCAGACCCATTTTTATAAACAGCCAAGAGATGAATAGAGGAGAAGATGCATGATTTGGTGAGTAAGAGAGGACCTGTAAAAAATGATTGTAACATTCCAATTATTTTGTTGAAGATGTGCTATTTTAAATGACATTTAAACATGGAATGATTGGCATTAAACTGTAAAATAGGCAATTATAGTATCTTATTTTTAAATAGTATCAGAGATTATCTTTTTATTAAACAGTTGTTATTCATTAAGTATCATGCTTCTGTTATGTGTGAGACACTGTGCTACAAAAGAAGTATCTAGGAAATAATTATGCAGCCATTTCTAAACCATCAGAAAACAGTAAATCAGTGTTGGTTTATTAACCAACAGATAAGTAAACAATTTTGTTTTGTCGTTTTCAGCTCACAACTTTTAGTGAAAAAGAATCTTGATTTCTGAGGAAAGTGTTGAAATGTCCAGCAGCAAAACTGATATTAGTAATAGAATATATGAAGCTAAAACATTTTATGATAAAAATAGTTTATTGGTCATCAGAAAATAAAATTCCTGCAAAACTAAGCAGTGACTAGGAAGAATATTTAAAGACCCTTTTAAAATAGATCCATAATTTGGTATTCCAAGTATGGTTTATGGACATTAAGTTCATTTATAAATTTAGATCATTATATGTAATCAGTGTTTAATCTATTCATACACAATGGCAGATAATGGGAGTCATATTTTAAAGGAGTCTTTGAAAAGGCCTCAAGATGATGCGTTTAAAGATTTTTTTTAATTTAATTTTTATTTTATATTATAGTTGACTTACAGCACTGTGTTAGTTTCAGGTATACAGCTGAGTGATTCAGTTATACATATACATATATCCATTCTTCTTCAGATTCTTTCCCCACATAGGTTATTACAGAATATTGAGTAGATTTCCCTGTACTATATGGTAGGCCCTTGTTGATTATCTATTATCTAGAGTTTAAAGATTAATTCTTCAGCAGACCTATCTTAATCTTGGCTGTAGTGTAGTCAGTGGTGTTCAGTGGACCATAGGTTTGGGATATGAAGTTATGCTTTCTTATACTTGCTCTTAAGCAAAGTTCCTGTTTTTGCAGACCTCCTCATCTCTGCCCCTCAGTTCGTTTTCTAGTGAATGAGGAGAGGAAGTTGTTTGAGCTGACTGATATTTTGGGGTCTAAAATTATATAAGGCTTAAAGGAAGAGGGTTTCTTGCACAGTTTCTAAAATAATTCTAGAAGTGTGGTTTCACAATTATTTTAAGCAATGAAAATAAGATGTACATATATCATCAAAGGTGATAACATATAGACAACGATCATTTGGGTGTATATATTGAGCTTTTTTCTCCCTAAAAATATTTTATTAACTTCCAGGCGCTCTTCATTGATATCTGTTTGTTACAATATTTATTCAAAATATTATTCATTCATGTTTACTGAGTGCCTACCTTGTGCCAGGCACTACTCTTAAGTGTGAGCATAGAGAGGTGAACAAAACAGACAGAAAGAGGCAAAAAATCTTTCCTCTCGTGAACCTTATATTCTAATGTGAGAGGAAGAATCTTATAATTCTAAAGTAACTGACTTGTAAAAATATAACAAATGGTGATTTATTTCTCAACTGCTTAAAACTGAACACTATCTATCTTCTCTATAACAAAACATTTGAGGTTCAGAGACCAATTCATTATAATTTAGGTATGTTTTACAAGAAAATCTGTGGTATAATTAATATTTGGCCTGTTTTATAATTTGGTCGTTACAGATAAGAAAGAAATCTCTGATGTACGGACGTGTACCATGTAGTAGAAGTAGTTGATTAGTTTCTCTTGACAAGTCAATGTTCAGAATTCCCGGTAGACAGACAGTCCTAGTAATCTTTTGGGTTTTTTTTTTGCGGTACGCCGGCCTCTCACTGCCGTGGCCTCTCCCGTTGCGGAGCACAGGCTCCGGACGCGCAGGCTCAGTGGCCGTGGCTCACGGGCCCAGCCGCTCCGTGGCATGTGGGATCCTCCCGGACCGGGGCACGAACCCGTGTCCCCTGCGTCGGCAGGCGGACTCTCAACCACTGCGCCACCAGGGAAGCCCCCTAGTAATCATTTTTAAAAGTAATCTCTGTTAAAAGTCCTTCTGAACTGTTTTTGATAGTAAAGTTTTTGCATAATCAAATCACATGCTTCTTAATAATGCATAATATTTATTAGCTGATTTAACTTGCATTAGGATTATCCAGGTAATGTCTTATAAATCGATAATTCTTTCAGTGAGAAGAATAGTTCTGAATATAAGAATGTATTCTTAGTTACACATAAAATTGATTTCAGACTTGGGGGAAAGGATGGGTGTAGGATGACAATGTACTTTTAAGCTGCTAAAAGTGGTGTAGTCTTCACTATTATCAAGGGTAAAAAGTGGAGGAAAGAAGCATTTCAGATGGAATAACATTTAACATCCTTTTTCTTTGTTTCTTATAAAGATAGTACTTACATACGTTACACATTCTATACTCTATTTACTCTTACATCAAGACATGTTGACGAGAGACTTTTGGTTCAGGAAGGGATGTGAGGTGTGAATCATTATTATTAATGTTATGGGTTGAATTGTGTCCCATCTGAAATTCCTATGTTGAAATCCTGACCACAGTACCTTAGAATGCGGCTATATTTGTAGACAGGGCATTTAAAGAGGTAGTTAAGGTAAAATGAGGTCATATGAGTGGGTCCTAATCCTATATGAGTGGTGTCCTTATAAGAAGAATGAGGACACAGACCCACAAGAGGGAAGACTGAAGACCAGTTCAAGACACAGGGAGAAAGAAGATGGCCATTGACAAGCCAAGGAGAGAGGCATCACAAGAAACCAACCCTGCCAGCACCTTTATCTTGGACTTCTAGTCTACAGAACTGTGAGAAAATAAATTTCTATAAATAAAATTCTATAATAAATTTCTGTAATAAATTTTAAGCCACCCAGTCTGGGGCATTTTGCTGTAAGTAGCCCTAGTAAATGAATACAGTTAATAAGAACTTTTTAAAAAAAAATTGGTGACTAATTTCAGGATTATATTATTTTTAATTTAAAACAAATTGGCACCAAAAATGCACTTATTTTTGTCTTATTTTGCACTTCTGTTGAACTTTATTTTACCCTCAGGGCTTTTAGGCTAGCAGTATATTTTCTTATGCTAGTCACAGGGTAGCTTTTCTGAAGATTCTCTTACTCTGTTACTTGATGGTTTGATGAAATTTGCTGATGTTCTTTGGAATGTTTTCTTGTTGTCTTCAAATGTAGAAACTATTTGAAATTTAGACCAGTTGGACTGTATTACAGCATTAGACATGTTTTGGACTTTTTGTCATCACCACCACCTCCTGAATCTTCTGCAGCTAGTAAAAGAGAAAAGCAGTATTATTGGGAGTCAGTGGATATACAGTGTTTTTTTTCCTAATATTAGTGTAACTTTATAGCCTACTTCATAGTTTTAACCTATAGCAAGTACTAAGGGTTTGACCATTTAAAAACTTGAATTCATATTCAGAATTAGTCCATTTAGAAAATAAAATCTAATAAATGATTAGCCAGTTAACGTCTCAGTTTCACAGAAGAACCACTGAACTATGCAATCCGGGAATCTGAGTTGTTGCTTTGTGCCAAGCACAAAGCTTGTTGCCTGGACATAAAATAATATTAGTTTACAGAGACTTCTCAGTGTGGTAGGAAAAAAATTTGGA